GGTCTCATGAAAATGCGTATAAATAGTACGCCAAATAAAAACGAAAACTCGTGGTATTGATAGGCAAAAATGGACTTTGGCATGCATATGATACGCAGTTTTCGCGTGCATATGATACGCATCTACCCCACAACCCTAAACCTACCCAACGCGTAGCCTATGCACGCCAAAGTCCATTTTTGCGTATCAATACCATGAGTTTTCGTTTTTATTTGGCGTACTATTTATACGCACTTTCATGAGATCGGGTTGATATTTTCCATGCAAAGTTCATTACTTAGTCAAGCGGGATATTTATTAAGTCCTCATGCAGGCCTGCAGATATTACATTGACATTGTCAACTCACCTGATGTCCATGCCTTAGTTTGATCAAATCCGGATTGAGAAATCAGAAAGCATAAAAAGTGAGCCCTAGAAGATCTAAATGGGAGTTGTATATGTATGATCTGGTATTTATGCCGCCCTTGGGTTAATGCCCCTCCCTCTGTACTGGACGTCCCATAGAAATCAATAGGAAATGCACGTGAACAGCGCAATTGCAGACAGTAAAATGTTAAAGTAAAAAAGGTAAACCCCCAATAAAGCTGGCTTAAAGTTTGATTTTTGATATTTGACAGTCATCCAGCCTTGACACGGAAACGGAACCACGAAGATAGGGACCGTCTACCAAATACACCCCGAAGAGAAATGAGTTCAATAGCTCTATTAACATAATTTATATTGTTTTGGTTTTGCTCCAAGGACCTTTTTTTGAACACACGGGCCGGATTTGTTTTATTTCAGAGACTGAAGGATGAGATGCCATTTGAATTGAATTTATTATAGTAATAATAAGACACATGAAAACTGTGATTAAAAATCGAGGTTATTGCATTTATTTTTTTTACTTTCCTAAATATATTACTGTTGTATTGCTTAAAAGTGAATATGAACTTGTTTTCTTTGCAGTTTTTGAGGTCTGAAAAAATACAATTAACACAAAGTGTGTGTAGATATTTAACATGATATAAACATGTCACTATAATATTTCAATGACATGGAAATAGATGATTAAACACTAAGATTTTTTTTTATTGCTTAACAGAAACGTACATGCATAGGCTACATATATAGAGGATGATACTGTATTGCAAACATCCAAAAAGAAAGGAACAAACATAGGGTGATATCTTAATCTTACAATACATCAATCAGGATTTCTATACAATCGTTTTGCTTTTTTATTCCTCAAATCTTTAAAGGGATAGTTCACCCAAAAATCAAAATTACCCCATGATTTACTCACCCTCAAGCCATCCTAGTTGTGTATGACTTTCTTCTTTCAGATGAATGCAATCGGAGTTATATTAAAAAAACGTCCTGGCTCTTCCAAGCTTTATAATGGCAGTGAATGGGTTTAATGCCACTCAGCGGGTGTTGCATGCATCAGTCCAAAAGAAGTTAAATAAAAAGCCCCCATCCATTAAAAAAAAGCATCTCACACGGCTCCGGGGGGTGAACAAAGGCCTCCTGTAGCGAATCGATGCGTTTGTGTAAGAAAAATATCTATATTTAAAACTTAATAAACCGTAATCTCTAGCTTCCGCTAACTGTTGTTCGCACGTTGATTCCGACGGATTATGTAAGTCGTTGAAACAAACTCATCTACATCTTCGATGGCCTGAGAGTGAGCACATTTTTCAGCTAATGTTTATTAATGTTGCGATAATGTTACTGTATACCAATGTTCTAGTAATTTTGTATTATGTTTAGATCATTTCTAAGAATGCTGTGATAGTCTTATACTATTGTGATGAAAACGTAAAGTGATGTTTTTATCAGCTGTTTGGACTCTCATTCTGACGGCACCCATTCACTGCAGAGCATCCATTGCTGAGACACTGATGCAATGCTACATTTCTACAAACCTGATGTAGAAACAAACTTATCCTGATCTGGGATGATCTGAGGATGAGCACATTTACAGCTCATGTTCATTTTTAGGCAAACTATTCCTTTAAGCGTGGCAGTAGCATCAAAAGTACGACGTTACATTTATTCATTTATCAAGTGCTTTTATCCAGAGCAACATTTTTTTTGTTGCACAGTAATGTGAAAAAACTCCGTCGTAGTGAAAGTGAGCACAGTCTTCACCGCCTCCCAAACCGTGAGCCGTTACGAAAAAGATTATTGGAGGATGTTTTACAAAAAAATACTTTTCAGTCTTTCAACTCCAAAGTTTCACATTTAATTCAATGTCACTTGCTGCTTCTTTGTAATTATTTGTGAAACTTGCTAGCAATTTCTGAGTCAAAAATGTTTCCACACCATTTTTTTGTTCTATATTGATAACCTACATTTTATAATATTTGTTTACATTTTTTTTTTATTATTTAATAATATTCTAAAACCGCAATATGATTTTTTTTATGAAGGAAATGTGATGTTTGTCTGTGCAAAACGTTCTTGATGCCATGTTGTGAGTGCATTCTTTTTTTTTTACTTGTTGCTAGGTGGAGCTGAGTGGTTGCTAGGGTGTTGCTAGGGGGATAACAGAGGGAGAGAAGAACTGTGTGCGTCTCAAACGCTGAGGTTAAAGGTCAGAGGAGGAAGAGCAGCTGAATAAACTACAGTCAGTCAATGAGCAGAGGAATGCTGGAGAAAGAACACGCGCACACACACACACACACACACACTCACA